TTTAAATATATTATCTAATTTTGGTACAATAAATATGCAACCCTTAAAAGCAGGAAAGTCATAATATAAAAAGTGTTCATAATTTTAATTTTAATGAAAATGATGCTGCCTTGAAAAAGCTTATTTTAAGGAAAGTACTGATTGTGACATTGTCTTCATCTTCATTCCACGAAGGTTCGATTAGGGGCTAATGATCACAAAAAGAGTGGCAATGTCCAAATCACGTCTGCACAGTTGGCATCACAAGCTGGTACTTTTCCAAAATATTTCCAAAAACTGGGCCAGGGACCAGGGCTCAGTGGGAAAAAAAAAATTGATTTTTTAGAGGACTCTGACTCCAAATGAAAGCTTTGATTTATAAAGAGTATATTGTAAGAATTTATATTACATATGTGCCTTGACTGACAAAGTGATTCTGTCCTGACAAACTCATCATAAGTTGAAAATACCATAAGTCAAAAATGCATTTAACACACCTAACCTATAACTTAGCCTCGATCAAGCTGAGAATGCTGACATTAGCCTACAGTTGGGCAAAATCATCTCACACAAAGCCTATTTTATTATAAAGTATTGACGATCTCATTTAATGTTTTAATATATCACTATAAAAAATACCTGAGATAAATCAATTTATTTTTAAAAAAGGTTTATTTTGGCTCACAGGTTTAGAGGTTTCAGTCCACTGTCAGTTGGCCCCAATACTCTGGGCCGGTGGCAACCACATCATAGTGAGAACATGTGGCAAAGCAAAACCACTCACCTCATGGCTGCAAAGTGAAGGAAAAAGGAGGAAGAGGCGGGGGTCTACAATTCCCTAAAGGGCAGGCGACCCAACTATAGCGAGTATATGAAACATGAAAAACAGAATGGTTGTATGGGTACAGAACACAAAGACGAGCATTTTGTAGACACAATAAGAGGTGAAAATACAATTTTTAAAAAACACTAGTCACATAGCACACTGCAGAGCATCAACGGTTTCCCCTCAAGGGTCACATGGCTGACTAGGAGCTGCCAGCTACTTTCTGGTACCGCCCAGATCACAAGGGAGGATTGTACTACAAGTCGTCAGCCAGGGAGAAAATAAAATTCAAAACTTTGCAATATGGTGTCTATTGAATGCATATCATTTTTACACCACCACACAGTTAAAAAATGGCTAAGTCAAAGCATCATAAACTGAGGACTGTGTTAGCTGAGTACTAGTTAGCTTCTTAATGGATACATTCGTATTTTTTAGGAGAAAGAGTTTTGCCTTGCAATCAATTTAAAGAGAAATACTGGCTAAGGATGAAACTCAGTGGTAAATGCGTGCATAGCAAGAGCAAAGCCCTGTGTTTAATCCCCAGCACTAAAAAAAATAAAAATTAGGGCTGCGGGTGTGGCTCAGGTTGGTAGCAAGCACAAGGACCTGAGGTCAAACCTCAGTACCACCCCAAAAAAATCAGTAATAAAAAAAAATTTAAATTTAAAAAACATGCTGCTTGAAAAAAGTGTAAAAATATTTTGAGCTACACAAAAACCTCAACAATAGACACATGGTTCAATAATTTGATTTTACATCCTCCTAGCACACATGCCTGGGATGGACCAGGGCATTGAAAATGTGCAAATATTCACAGTGAGCCCACATCTCCCACCAGAAGTTCTTAGACCATGAGGTGCTACTTCAAAAAATTCATGGGATCAGGTCCCAGAGCCCAGTGAGATCTCCTAAGTCCATCCACGTCAGCTCAGAGCATGCCCCTGTTACCGCAAATGGGCACCGTACCTCGAAAGACAAGAGCCTGCCCAGCGACATTCCTTCTCTCCTCCTTCCTCCAGTCTCTGTTCTCTCTCTAGCCCTCTTTCCTTCTAATTTCTTTTTACATCTCTTACTATTTGTATCTGCAGAAGGAAAATGAAGTAGAATATTGTTATGAAATTTGGGGTGGAGAAATACCTGCATTACTCAAATGACAGAGCCATCGACATGTTGCCTAGTCTTCCCCTGGGGAAAGCCATAGGTTTTGTGGTGTTTTCTCTCAGAAGTGTAGAACTACTACTTCAAAATTATACTTTTTCCCCAGTGCATCACCAAAATTAGAAAACAAAGCATTTTTCTCCAGCACAGTGGTTCTCAAAGTGTGATTCAGGGAGACAGGAGGGTTTCCAAAGATCTTTCTAAAGGGTTCATGAAGTCAAAACTATTTTCGTGATAACCCTGTTTCCCTCTTCTCTCATCCTCCTATGAGTCACTGATGGAACTTTCCAGAGACTACACGATGAGTAACATCACGATGAACGGAGTACAGAACCAGATGTGACAATCCAGCTGTCCTATCCTGAAATAAACACCAAAGGTATTTCTAAAAAAATGTAAAACAATGTCATTGTTCTAAATATTTTTTACTTTGGAAGACATAGTCATTTTTATAAAACATAACATTTATATTAACATTTAATGGCTTGTTATTCTTATTTTTAAATAAATTAATAAATTAATATTCTTAGTTTAATTTTAATTTTTGAAATGATAATTATTAATAGTTATAATCGACATAAACAGAAGCTCTTTGGGTTCTTCTGTCATTTTTAAGAATAAATTTGACTATTGCTCTTCTAGGACAATTAAAACAAATAAATTGCCAGGCATGGGTGTCTCATGTCTGTAATCCTACATACTGGGAGGCTGAGATTGGGAAGATCACAGTTCAAGGCCAGCCAGGGCAAATAGTTCATGAGATCCCTCATCTCCAAAATAATCAGAGCAAAATGGATTGGAAGTGTGATTCAAGCAGTAGAGCACCTGCTTTGCAAACATGAAGCCCTGAGTTCAAACCCCAGTCCCAACAAAAAAAAATAAAAATAAATTTTTAAAAATTGGGCTGGGGGTATGGCTAAGTGGTAGAGTGCTTGTCTAGCATATACAAGGCCCTGGATTGCATCCCAACACCGCAGAAACAAACAAATGAACACAAAACTTTATGCTCTCATTTTATTTTGGCCTCTGATATCATCTATTTGAGGCTTTGTGAACTTTCTGCTTGGCTAAGCTGAACTACATTCTCCACAATTTCCTTATGTGCTTCTGGTCAGAGTCACAGAGAGGTTCTTGTCCTTGTTCTGTACTGCCTCCATGAGCGCCAGGCCTCCTGCTTCTGCTCCTTACCTGGGATACTCCTTCAATTTCTTTGACTTTCTGAGTCAGAGATGTGTGGTCGAAGGCCTGATTTTGTAGGCCACATACACCACCAAGATCAGTAGCAACAAGAATGGACCTGAGTTTTGGTCTGTTTTCATGCACTCCCCCTTGTACCTGTGGGTTCCAGCTTCTTATTTTACCCATTTTATATCCATCTTCCTTCAGTTGCCCTCCTGTGGATTACAAGCTCCAACACCAGACCCAGAGACAACTGTCTTAGCCTGCTCCCTCCCTCTACCACATGAGGTTGGATTCCTGGAATGCATATGGTAGACACACTAGGGCAGGGTCTCCTGCAAGATGCCCACCAGACAGGAAGTCATGGACAGGGTTACAAAGACAGACCCATCACCCCTCTTCCTCACCGTGAGATTGTCATGCTTTCTCCCATGTGGGCTGCTGTGGTTGTCACTCTGAAAGATAGCAGTAATCAGTGTCACAAATGGAACTGCATCCACAAAGAGAAGCAGACTAATGGTTTTGTGGGTATTTGCTTATCTCCAGATTCAAGGTCTATGCATTAAGTAGGCATGGTTTTTGTGTTTCAGTTATACCACAATAAACTGATTTCAGAGAAAGACAGGAAGAAGGCAGAGCTCGTTTGAAAAAGTGGCTCTGATTGTCACACCTGAATATACAGTTGTTATGCTAAGCCATAGAAGTTGAGGGAAAATCCTCTATGGTGCCATCTGGCCATCTGTGCAGGGCAGACAGCCGACTCTTCTGGGGATAAAGGATGTGTATACATTCTACTTTCCTGTCCCTTTCTTTCGCTTTCACTTTTGTTTTTCAAATATTTGTTGAATTAAGCACCTTCCATGTGACCAACTCTGAAAGGATCCCGTGGGAAAAAACATACAGTTTTGTCGTTGGGGAATGCATTCTCTATGTATTATTGCATAATAAAACTTAGCAGCTGAACGTAACAAACACTTATTAACCCACAAATCTACAGGCAGTCAGGAATCCTGGAGTGACTTAGCTGGCCTTTCTGGCTCAGGAGCTCCTGTGAGGTTCCAGTCCAGTGTGGGCCAGTGCTGAGTCATGTGAAGGCCTGACTGGACCTGAAGATCTGCAACCCAGGAAGAGCCATGTGGTCAAGATTACTCCCAGGACCACGGGCAGGAAGCCTCTGCTCCTCATGGTGCAGGCTTCTAGTAGGGGAGGTGGTAGCCGGCTTCCCCCAGAACAAGTGAGGAGAAAGAGAGATTGTTCTGTGTGGAAGGTACCATATGCTGAGGGCATGAGTCCCAGGTTGTGGTATCACTGGAGGCCACCCTGGAGGCTGTGCACCATGAGGAAATCATCATCTTTTGTGGCCCAGGAAGAGATAGAATATGAATACGCAAATTTTAAGCAATGTTCCTGAGGAATTGTCCTTCGTCCTAATTGATTAGTTCAGTTGATTTTCCTGGGAAAAACCTGGGACAGCAGCAGAGGAATTTTTATCATCCCTGTTTTTCAAATGAGAAAAACAAAGCAAAAGAGATCTTTGTCTTGCCAAAGTCACCAGGTAATTGCAGCTGAGCCTGGACCTGGACTCTGAACTCAGCTAGGTGGTGCCCTTTGCTTCTCCATGACAGAAGAGGTGACAAGAATCCAGAACAAAGCTGCCCATGGAGGAAGAACAAAGAATGACTGATAGGCCACTGAAATTGAATTATATCCATTTTTTAAATCATTTCATATGCATAAATATTTCACAGAATTTTTTTCAATTTTTTAAGTTCGCTCCCCTAAATTTTTCTTAACTATATGAGCCAGCCAACAATTACCCAGTGAGAACTTAGGGAAAAAAATGAAAAAAGAACAAATGACAGAACTAGATGCAGGTGTTGGCTGGAGCCGGAGTGACAGGGGTCCCTCCGGGCCGGAGGTGGCAGTAGTGGCAGTGGTGGCAGTGGTGGCAGTGGTGACAGCGGTGTCGCCACCCTCACTTCCCTGCGCCCCTTTTCCAGGCCGCGACATCGCCGCGAAAGCGAGACGGCGATGGCCGCCCAGAAACAAGTGGCCGAGCCTCGAACTGCGGCCTGGGGAAAAAGAAGCCTGACAGCCCCGCCGTGACCCGGTGCCCTTGGCCCATTCCGGGCCCTGTAGCGCCGGACTCCGCCTGCTGTCGCCCCCGCTTAGCGGCGCGGCGTCGGGGCTCAGCAGCGAGCAGCAGCCGCTCCAAGGCCCAATTCATTGTCAGAGGAAAACACAAACTGGTGCGGAAGATCGGGTCTGGCTCTTTCGGGGACATTTTCCTGGCGATTAACATCACCAACGGCGAGGAAGTGGCAGTGAAGCTAGAATCTCAGAAGGCCAGGCATCCCCAGTTGCTGTACGAGAGCAAACTCTGTAAGATCCTTCAAGGTGGGGTTGGCATCCCCACATACTGTGGTACGGTCCGGAAAAAGACTATAACGTGCTAGTCATGGGTCTTCTGGGACCCAGCCTTGAAGATCTCTTCCACTTCTGTTCAAGAAGGTTCGCAATGAAAACTGTGCTTATGCCAGCTGACCAGATAGACGATCAGTAGAATTGAATATGTGCATACGAAGAATTTCATACACAGAGACATTAAGCCAGATAACTTCCTAATGGGTATTGGGCGTCACTGTAATGAGTTATTCCTTATTGATTTTGGTTTGGCCAAAAAAGTACAGAGACAACAGGACAAGGCAACACATACCATACAGAGAAGATAAAAACCTCACTGGCACTGCGCGGGACGCTAGCATCAATGCACACCTTGGTACTGAGCAGAGTCGCAGAGACGACATGGAATCATTAGGGTATGTTTTGATGTATTTTAATAGAACCAGCCTGCCATGGCAAGGACTAAAGGCTGCAACGAAGAGACAAAAATATGAAAAGATTAGTGAAAAGAAGATGTCCGCTCCTATTGAAGTTTTATGTAAAGGGTTTCCTGCAGATTTGGCCATGTACTTAAGCTATTGTGGGCTACGCTGTGAGGAAGCCCCGGATTACATGTATCTGAGGCAGCTATTCCGCATCCTTTTCAGGACCCTGAACCACCAATATGACTACACATTTGATTGGACGATGTTAAAGCAGAAAGCAGTACAACAGGCAGCCTCTTCCACTGGGCAGGGTCAACAGGCCCAAACCCCCACAGGTTTCTAAGCATGAATTGAGGAACAGAAGAAGCAGAGCAGATGATCGGAGCAGCATTTGTTTCTCCCCAAGTCTAGAAATTTTAGTTCATATGTACACTAGCCAGTGGTTGTGGACAACCATTTACTTGGTGTGAAGAACTTGATTTCAGTATAAACTGGCTCTGGACAGCATTGGTGATGCTGTATCCTGAGTTGTAGCCGCTGTAATTGTGAATATTAACTGAGATAGTGAAACATGGTGTCCTGTTTTCTATTGCATTTTTTTCAAGTGGAAAAGTTAACTAAATGGTTGACACACGCAAATTGGTGGAGAAATTGTGCATATGCCAATCTTTTGTTAAAGCCTTTTATTTTGAACTATACTGCTTTTGAGATCTCATTTCAGAAGAACGGCATGAACAGTCTTCAGCCTCAGTTGTGATGGTTGTAAATGCTCACAATTTTGCATCCTTAGGGTTTTTCCATCCCTAGGGTTTGCAAGTTGTTCACTTAAAACATTCTTTAAATGGCTGGCTTCTTGTTTGCAAGCCAGCTGATATGGTAGCAACCAAAGATTCCAGTGTTTGAGCATATGAAAGACTCTGCCTGCTTACCTGTGCTAGAAATAACAGCATCTAAAGTGAAGACTTAAGAAAAACTTAGTGACTACTAGATTATTCTTAGGACTCTGCATTAACTCTATAATGTTCTTGGTATTAAAAAAAAATATTTGTCACATAAATTTAGTTAACATCTACAACTGAACATGTATGTATGTTGCTTAGATAAATGTAATCACTGTAAACATCTATATGAGCTGGGATTTTGTTTTTATTTTGAAATGGGAGCTTTTTTGTTTACAAGTTCATTAAAAACTAAAAACTGTTTCTGTAAGGAAATGATTCTTTTTAAACAACACAACAAAATGCCTTGCTGACTCACTATGAAATAAAAATCTCCCCAGTTTTTTGATAGACTACTTTAAGCCATTTGTTACATGATATTCGTTTGCAAGTTGATGCAAATTTAGTGTATAAATTCTCATTTTTAAATTTTTCTTTTGTTCTGAAGGGAAAAGGCATTCTTTCACTTTGTTTTTTTTTTGTTTGTTTGTTTTTTTGGTTTTTTTTTAATGACTTGCAGGCACAATACCTAGTACTGCAGCTGCCAGAACTTGGCATGGTAAATCCTGCTACCACTGACTAGCAGCTGGACTGATTTTGAATAAGAATGAAAGCATTAAAGGGTTTAACTACAAAATATTTTTCTTTAAAATACTTGTGAAATGACTGTAAGTAGTCGACTCTTGTCCTCTGAGAGTGTCATACCCTGTGAAGTTGAAGTGAGTGTTGACTCTCTCCCCATCCAACCTGCTTCTATAAGGTTACCTGTGTGTGCGCGCTTCCTCTCAGTGTTAATTGTGCACTGTTTCACTGATCCAAAAGAAAGGAAAACTTACAGTAATTCTTAAATAGTGTAATTTATTCATTTATAGCATGTCAGTCTAAATTAAAAGAACATTTGTCTGAAAAAAAAAACAACTAGATGCAGTAGTGTACACCTATAATCCCAGCACTCAGGAGGCTGAGGCAGGAGGATTGTGAGTTTGAGGCCAGCCTGGGCAAATAGACCCTGTCTCAAAAACTCAAGGGCTAGGGATATAGCTCAGTGGTAAAGCACTTGCCTAGCATTGCAATGCCCTGGGTGTGATCTAAAGCACTGGAAAAAGAAAGAAAGAGAGGAAAGAAGGAGAGAAGGAAAGAAGGGAGGGAGGGAGGGAAGAAGAAAAGCAAATGACTAAGGAAAAGCCAGTATGTTTACTTAATGCATTGTGGCATTTTGGATGTAATTTCACATGTGCTTGAGATTACTTCATATTATGTAATTTTATTCTCATAATTATTCCTAACTTGGGTGTTAAATGAATTAGCGTTTCCAGTGGCTTGCTAAGGATCATTGTCATTATCTGGAAGCTGGCTTCCTGACCAGGATCAATATCTACAGTGCTGATCTTTGGCTCCCATAAAAATGTGTGCTGGGAGCCAGGTGCTGGTGGCTCATGCCTGTAATCCTAGCTACTTGGAAGGCTGAAATCTGGAGGATCACGATTCAAGGCCAGGATCAACAAATAGTTCTCAAGACCCCCATTTCCAAAATCACCAAAGCCAAATGGACTGGAGAAGTGGCTTAAGTAGTACATGCACCTGCTTTGCAAGCACAAAGCCCTGAGTTCAAACTCCAGTCCTCCTCCCAAAAAAAATGTGCACTAGGGAGAAAACAAATTTCATGTTGTGCCCCAGAAGATAAAGACTTAGGGAAATGCCTGCCTGACAGCCACCAATCAGCTTAATGCTCTCGGGTTGCTATGCTGTCTTCTTTGTGAGACTTCTGAGAACAAAAAAAGTCCTTTCTGCTACCTGGTAAATCTTTCTTTTCCTCTCTGATAATGTCATATGTAAATCTGTCATTAGCAACCCATGTGTTGGCCTCCCCAGGTTAGAATCCTGCATCCTTATCCTTCTATAGTACCCAACACTGAGAACCCTGGCATAGAGAAGGAAGTAATTATCTGTTGACTAAATAAGTGATTCAGAAGAGTTGATTTTGTTCCCAAAGCTTTCTCAGCCAGTGTTCCATAGGAGATTAGCCTATTGACAAGATTTCAGTATTTTCTCATTTTGCTAAGCATGCTAGCTACCTGGTACCATCCTAGACCAAGAAGAGAAAGCTAAGCTATTGTGTATAGTGGGGATTTTCAGGGACTGGAGTGTTGTTCTACTAGAGATCCTTGCTGAGAAGGATCAACTGATGTTTTCAAGCTACCTTGGCTAATGGCAGAAGTACCCAAGGTAGAAAGTGGCATCTGTGGCTCTAACCAGAAAGCAACATCCAGTGCACTTGAGCTCCCTCACTGGCTCAAAACCTAAACTGTATACATGGAAAGTAGATTAAGAGCTTCCAGGAACAAGAAGAAAGGGGTAATGGGGAGTGACTGCAAATGGGCATGAGGCAATGGAAATGTTCTAAAGTTGGGTTGTGGCAGCAAGCAATCTATAAATACACTAAACATCATTAAATTACATACCTAAAATGAATTTTATGGTATGTCAATCCTATCTCACAAAGGCATTTAAAAAGCGTATTTACCCATACACTAAGATAGAGATAACTAAGGAAACAAGCATGAAGGGGAAACCCCTCCTCCCCGCTTTGAAATGAACCCCGGGCTCAGTTGCAGTCAGCAATATCACACCACTGTTAAGAACAAAAATAGTAGGGCTAGCAGAGTGGCTCAAGTGGTAGAGTGCCTGCCTAGCAAGCGTGAGGCCCTGAGTTCAAACCCTAGTACCACCAAAAAAAAAAAAGTTTAAGCAATTAAAAGAAAGGAATAAAGATGGTGCACGTAGACATGTATAAAATAAAAGTTGCTAAGCCTTCTTCTTCAGGCACTTCTTTCCCTCATGTTATGAACATATTCAATTTAAGACTCCTTCAAACTTACATAGGCTCTAGAATCACATGTCTACTTCTTGTAGAGCCAAGCTTTACAAGCAGTAGTTTATATCTGCTCTCCGTTTTCAGTTCCCACTGACTAATGCATTCATTTATGTAAAAAAATGAACAAAAACTCATAGTCTGCTCATCATATACGTAAATAAAACACAAGACTCTTTTTTCCCACACAGAAGACCTATGTGCTCTTGAGAAACTCACTCCTGAGTAATGACAAGCAAATGTTTGAATAAAGATCTCCAAAATCCCACCCTCCATAAAAGCAATGAAAAAGACAGAATCAGCTTCTCCAGAACTCTGAAAACTACCCAAAATCTAGCCATGACCTGTGGAATGCTTGGTCAAAAAGAAAACTTGAATCTCAGTAAGAATAGTGAGCACTGTGGCATTCTAACCTCCCTATGCCCTCGCCTATGAGCCAGCTGATCAGTGCTCTGAAGATAGCAAACTGCACTCCTGATGCAAGTACCAGAGGGGTTGGAACAGACCTTACTTGCAAAGAACAACTATTATTTAATCTGGCTGGTGGTTGCAATAGCAGGCATACTCAAAAGGCTTAGATTGGGCTGGCGATGTAGCTCAGTGATAGGTTTGCCTACATGGCATAGGCCCTGGGGTCCATCCCCAGCATTAAAAAAAGAAGAAGAAGAAGCTGGGCTCGATGGCGCAGGCATATAATTCAACACTTTAGAGGTTGAAGGAGGAAGGAGGACTGGGAGTCCTGGCTACATAGGAAGAGTATGTCTCAAAAAAACAAAAACAAATCCAGGCACCAGTGGCTCACACCTGTAATCTTAGCTACTTGAGAGACTGAGATGGAAAGGATCCCGGTTCAAGGCCAGCCCAAGCAAATAGCTCTCAAGACCCCATCTCCAAAATAGCCAGAGAAAAATGGATTGGAAGTGTGGCTCAAGTGGTACAGCATCTTCTTTGTAAGCATGAGACCTTGAGTTCAAACCCTGGGCCCACCATAAAAAAATTTTAATTAGAAAATAAAATAAAAGGCTTGGATTTACTCAACGTAACTGTAAAATAAATCCTGACCCAGTGCTAGAGTTTCTACCTGACAGTCATTTGTCAAAAAAAAAAAAAAAACTTTACAGGCAAATATTTTAGTCACTGATGCATGAAGCAATAAGTAAGAACAAGAAGCTTTGTGGAGAAAGGACTTTAAAAAGCTACCACATATTTCTGAAGAACTAGAAAGCCAATGAGTGTTCATGGATGCCTAGCCACATGCTCAAAAGATCTGAATATGTCATATGTCATAATCCTTCACTTAGGGCTGACCTTAAGCTCTATGAAAAGAGAAAGTGAAGGCTAAGTCAGACTTGCAAACTGTGTATTTAAGCACTGAATATGTGCCAACACACACACACACACAGTCCTTCAGCAAAGATCAGGAGATGTTTTGCTCCTAATTATTTAAGACATTGCAATGACCACATAAGAAATCAAACCCAGACTTCACAAAGTTAGTTCAGAAAAGCCACTAAACAAATAAACTAATACTATTACAAGAAATGACAACAAAACCTAGAGAAGATGAAGAATCCAGAATCTCCATGTTGTATGTACAAAATGTCTAACTTCCAAAAAAAATTCTGAACCTCTGAAGCATGCAAAGAAACAAAAAGGTATGGCTTGCATGCAGGGATGGGCAACAGGAACTCCTGGAAAAGTCCAGATGTTGGACTTCTAGACAAAGACTTTAAATCAACTTTAAAATACGCTCAAGGACAGAGAGGAATTACCCTCCAAAGTACTAAAGGATAGTATTAGAATATCGCATGACATAGAGACTATCAATAGAAATATAAATTATTTTTTAAGTTAGCTAAAATTGTGAAGCTGAAAAGTACAATAACTGAATTGACAAATTTATTAGAGAGACTCAAGTGCAGATTTTAGCTGGCAGAAGAAAGAATCAATGAACTTGAGATAAGACAAGAATATCTAATCCGGTGGCATAAAGAAAAAAATGAGGATGTTCTCCTACTGTCTGATTTTGGCGCTGCGTGGCTCTCCTGACTGGAAGAACGTGGAATCAGGATCAAAGTCCCGCTGGGTTGCCCCCAGCGCACAGCGGCTGGTCCGAGGGACACCTGTGGTGACGGCCTTGCTCGGTCCCAGCTGCAGCGGCGTTATACCATGGCGCCTTCCAAGCCGAGCAACCTGCATCAGGCCTGTGTGACCTTTGAGGATGTGGCCATTTCCT